TTGATTTATTGTTGGACATATTTTGCTCGGGGGGGGGGGCACTTGGCTTTCCCGAGGGGGGCAGTGCCCCCCGGAGATATAGCTGAAAGAAACCCTGCGCACACCTTCACCGCCTATCGAAAAATGACGCAAAAACTGTTATGGCCATTTTACATTGGGCTTGTGGAGGACTTCGTTGTTTTGTGTTTTACGTCACAGTTTTCTAATAATATTACATCTTAATCCATTATGAGAAAATGATACTGAATAAAATAAAATTTTAGTTTAGTTATGAAAATTGTATGTATGTTTTGAATTTTTTTTAGGTGTGACGTGAAACTAGGGGGAGAGGTAGCGTAAAGGATTTTTTACACTTTGTGACAGGGGCGAAAAAGGGGGAGGGGGGTCTAAAATGTCATTTCTTGAATGATGTAGATTTTGAACGACCCCTTAAAGAGTTCATTGAACGAATTCACGTATTATGGTGGCTTTTTGTTTTTACGGCTTGGAAATTGGGGTCAGCAACTTCTCACCCATTGGGGTCCCAACAAAAATTAATACTTTTTTTACTCTTAAATGCCTTCCCCTCGATGTCCATGTTGGAGAAAAAAATAGTTTCACCTTGTAATCTGAGTAGCAATTCATTTGATTTGTTTGGGAAAATCTCATTTCCAAATGTTCAAACAAGTGTGGGCGATTCTCATTCAATGGAATCTCAGATCTAAGTTAAAGAAAAAATCTTGACAAAAAATGCACAAAGAGACAACTGAGCCTTTTGCTTTCACTTTTGTAAAAATGAATCTGCGGAACTGACGATGATTGCTGCGAATGTAGCGAATAAAGTTCACTTATGAAACTGTAGGGTCCACGACACAGGATAATTTAAGATGCCCCCCCCACCCCACACACACACACTTCATGTTGATGAATAATGTAGTGAAGGACCATAAAATTTGAACTGCCAACCCTTTAAACAATCGCTAAAATTTCTCCAACTTATCCTTTCCCTTCACCACAGTAGTTTTGCCACCTCTGTGGTTAGGTTCTTCAATTTTGTCCAATCCAAACTGCACAGCGCATTTTATTTATCTACCTCTTTGAAAATGTCCTCCCATGTTGACACATGCATACTATGCTCATATGCTAATTGTTATATGAAGTAAAAATCACCTTTGACTCCGCTGCGGGCCGTGGGGCAAAGTTTGCTGACCCCTGAATATAATGAATAATGCCTCATGCTTTAAAAGTAATGTACTTTTTTCATTTTGTAAAAAATAAAAATAGAGCTGATTGGGGTTAATTCGGATAACCTTTGCCATTTATTGAATTAGTGGGTCAACATGACATATATCTAAAAACAAGTCTAACGTGGAGCCACATTTGTGGGGCCAGTGTTATAAAACACAAATTAATTTCCATTCGCATGTATGATATTTTATTGTTTCTTTTAATTTTTCACATTTTTTAAAATTTATTTTTTACTAAAAACATATCACGTCAGATTTGTTTAGGTGTTTTTTTTTTGTTTTTGTTTTTTTTAGTTTGGTTACCTGAGAGTTACCTCCCTCTTATCGCTATCGGTGGAGGTAGTAAAATTACAATGTCCACGAACCCATTTTAAACATTTTTTAACATCATACCCAGTCTGAGTTTAAAGTTTCGAGTCATAGTCTAGACTTGGCTATTTAAAATAGAGCAATTTCAAAAGATTTAAAGAAATATACTCGGTATTTAGTATAAACTATTCATCTGTTATTTTGTAGTCTGATAACTGGAAGTGATACTGAAACTGAACTGATAGAGTAGAGCCAATAGTGGCAATAGAGCTCTTCTACGATCCAATCATCAGTCATCAGATTTGGAGATGGAGTAAAACAAAAAACTTTAAAAAGTAAAATATAAGTTTTAACTTATATTCTAATATAGCATATCATACTTATAGGCCAGGGGTTCTTTAACAGGGTTGGTCGCACCCAAAAAGTCACACAGTATAGTGTGCTAACAACTGTTAGTTTAGAGACCAATAAATCAGAAAATTTGGAAGTGAAACACACAAAAATGGGGAAAGAAAGAAAAAGAAGTAAAGAAGAATTAAAATTTAATAGTAATATTGTTTTAAGACAATTTTAAAAATAAATTTTATTAAAAATTTTATATTTTCCCCATATCTCACATGCAACTTCATGTAAAAACATTTTAAAAAGTAGGTAAATAAATAAATTTTCCTTAAAAATGTTATTTCGAACAAACTTCTAGATTTCCTTTCAAACTAACATTAACAAAGTTCAGTCAAACAAATTTCATACAAAGAAATCAAATTCTTTCATACCACTTTCCGGATATGGGCCTAGAATAAATAGGCTAATTTGTCGTTATAATATCCACTTAAAAGGTCACAGCAGATACATATTAGTTTTTACCTATTTCAAAGCTAGTTATGGAAACATGTTCAGGAAGGTGTTACAGGGTTGTACCATCATGCATGATCCTGTTGGAAATTTAATGTTTTCCTTAGTTAACTTAATAAGCATAGTTATATTATTACTGATACATCAATAATTTTGCTTTAACATTTTTATTTTATATACTTTACCATATACTAACAATTTGTTCTGTATCCCTCAGTTAACATCAAGCTAATTTCCTCATTATGAAATTTGGGATAGATGCCGATGGCAATCCAATAGCTGAACCATTAAAAAGTCTTGACGAATTATTACAGTGGAATTCAGATGAATTTACCTTTAGTGGCATAAACTTAAATGGAGAACCGAGAAATCCAATTGGGTCTCAAACAGTTGGGAAACACAAGACAGGTCCCAAACTCCTTGTATGTCATGATATGTTGGGAGGTTACTTGGATGACAGGTATTATTGCATTCACATTTAGAAGCTATCCATAACTGATGTGACACATTGGGGTTGGGGGGGGGAGGTGATGTGTTATGAGGATGTCTAAAATTTATGACAAGGCTGAGGATAAAATATCAGCCTAATTAACATGACATCATTTATGGATGGGGCCTAAATTTAAAATAATTTTTTTTCATTTTAAATAAATAAACTGGCAACTTGATGCACTTCGCTTTAATAAACAATGGACCATCATAAAATGTTAACAGCTACTGACCCTAGTTTTTAATTGTTAAGCCTCTGCAAAACATATTGGTCTCATTCCATCTGGAGTAGCATTATTTTCAAAGGAAGCACTAAGCTTAACTTTGTTGCTTAGATTCAGGAGGAGAAATGTGATCCTTAACCTTAACCCAACGTCAATGTGACAGTAGTTTAGATCATTATAAGTCATTATGTGTTTTCTTTGTTTAAAATTTGAAACGTGCCAAGAATGTTCAAACTACACTAGCAGAAAATCATTGGCAACCAAGTAAAATTAGATTCCTCTATCTCATATACATATAGTCTGACCTTGATACAATGAATACATAAAAATCCTCTTAAGCTTTAATTCTAAAAGAAAAACATGGAATTAAAATAAATGACTTTTTATTGATCTTGTGCTTACAACTATAAGTTTATAAATAGTTGCTGCAATCTCCAAAATCACATCTCACAATCACAACGATCATTGAAAATTTGTCTAAATTGGTTCTTCGTGAAAATGCTGCCTAATTTTTTTGGATCTCATGGATAATGCTATACTGAGTGGCAGTGTAGTGAACTGCTTAGAAAAGTTTGAAATTTGACATAAACCTAAATAAATAACTTTTGTACACAAAACTCAACATGTTATCTTTAGAATTAAAAAATACAATGGAAGGTGTCTTCTTTTTCTATATTTTGAGGGCCCACGATCAATGGATTGATCATTTTGGCTCCTATGTTTTAGAGGGGTGTGTTGTATATCAAGCATTTACTTTGTAGGTAATGTTCAGTTTGACCTCAACAAATGACTTTTATCTTGAAAAAACAACAGGTTTATACAGGGATGTGTCCCTTCAGCTCCTCCCTATAGGTTCTACCATTGGCAATACCTAGATACATTTGTCTACGGGGGGGGGGGGGGGGGGAATGTGTGTGGAGAAAGTTCTGTCTTATGATTTTGTGATTTTATTAAAAATTTTGGTGAAAATTTTGATAGTAAAAATGTCATTTTTATTTAAGTTAAATTGAAGATCATGATCTGATATCAACCAACTAAATAAATTATACCCAACTAATCAGCATTTAGCATAAGATTGTATTAGATATATTAAATAGGCTTAAATCAAAGTCTAAATCAATAGCTGTAAATGTTATGGGACCAGACAGCGCTTCAAATAAGACTTTTACATCTTCAATTAGGTAATCTCTTATTTTAGAATTAGTATCTTCAATGCAAATGGAAAAGCACTTTTTACTTTCAAAGTTACATTTCTTAAAATACATAATGAACTTATTTCATTATTAAAAGGATTTTATTAATCAAATATCTTTATGTCCCAAAGCAAAAACTATTAAACAAATTTTAGGAGATAAGAAAAGTACATTCCATGCATCTTTTGTTATTCAAAGTGGTATACAAGGAGAACTCAGAAATTAAGAATCCCTTTAAAAACCAATGAAATTATAAAACAAACTAATTTGTAAAACAATAAATACTTTTTCTGTTAACTACTGAAGTGTTATGGTGTGGTTCCTTTGGTAAATGGCGAATTTTAATTTTAAAAAACCCTTAATAATGATAACGCTTTCTGTACGCTAAAAAAAGAGATTACCCTCAATTCCAACTTAAATAGCATCGCCTTTATATAGTTTTGAAAAGAAAATCTTTACTCTCCATTACTGACTTTGTGTTTTTAACTTGGGACTAAAATTATCCTATTTAAAGCATTTAAACATTTAAAAATTCTGTTCAACATTTATATAACATGCTGTATTAACTATAAATAAATGTATGATAGATTTTATTCAGCATATTTTCATATTGTTTTTCTTCTAAAACTTTGATCACTAGGAACAATTATAACAGAATGGGATGACGGGGTACAGAACTGTTCTAACATTCTCAAAACAGAGGAATCAGTAGAGCTAATTACTAGCAAGTTAGCAGAGATTGCCTCATACTTTGGCTTTAATGGATGGCTCATCAATATTGAAAATGGAATACAGGTAGGATGTCTTTTAGTCATTCTCTTTGGTTCATATATGTACTAAAAATTCTAATGATATGGAAAATTTGTAAATACAAAAGGTTATAATTTTACTTGGTTGCCAATGATTTTCTGCTTTTCAAGTTTTATTGTAACTCTTAAGTTACTTAGTCCGTAACCACATCAGTGGTATCAAGTTTTGTTTTAACTCTTAAGTTACTTAGTCCCTAACCACATCAGTGGTATCACGTTTCATTGTAACTCTTAAGTTACTCAGTATCTAACCACATCAGTGGTATCACGTTTCATTGTAACTCTTAAGTTACTCAGTCCCTAACCACATCAGTGGTATCACGTTTCATTGTAACTCTTAAGTTACTCAGTCCCTAACCACATCAGTGGTATCACGTTTCATTGTAACTCTTAAGTTACTTAGTCCCTAACCACATCAGTGGTATCACGTTTCATTGTAACTATTAAGTTACTTAGTCCCTAACCACATCAGTGATATCAAGTTTTATTGTAACTATTAAGTTACTTAGTCCCTAACCACGTCAGTGGTATCAAATTTTATTGTAACTTTTAAGTTACTTAGTCCCTAACCACATCAGTGGTATCAAGTTTTAAGAAAGTCATTAAAATAAATAGGCTCTTCCCTCCCTCTAACAGGTGTTCCAACTACATAAGGAATATATCTTGGAATAACAGAGGGACTGCTGACCTCATTAGGGGATTCCTTTGATGACCATTGAAAACATTAGGGTCACGCCTGTTGGGGAATAATTCATCTCTAGAGAGTTGTCAGAAATCCTCAAAAAACGTTCACTTTGTTTAACAAAAGCAGGATTTTAGGTCTCAAATTTACTCTTATTTTTTTTTAGATGCTTCCCAACTTTCTCCTTTAAACCTGGAACTTTCCTTCTCATGATGTTTCCTTTTCCCATTATTATCAGGCTAACCAAGTGCGACGAATGCAGTCCTTTGTACGTACTCTGACCACAAAGTGTCATGAACTGCTGGACTCTGGTCAAGTACTATGGTATGATAGTGTTACTAGCAAAGGTGATCTACGATGGCAGGATGAACTCAACTCTCTGAACAAGTCAGTAGATTCTCAAAATTAACTGATCAATTAAAACACTAAACCAGGGGTTCTAACCATTTTGTGTGTGACATACCCCCTCTTGATCTCAAAATCTTTTTTAATAAAAATGCATATGAACCTGATTTTCTGGGTTTAATTTCTTTACCACAGAATGTTCTTTGATGTGTGTGATGGAATTTATCTAAACTATAACATCACGGAGGAAAAGCTGGCCAGGAGTCGAGACCTAGCGGCCTTAGCCAATCGGCAGTTTGATGTGTATGTGGGCATCGATGTGTTTGGCAGGGGCAGCCCTTGTGGAGGAGGCTTCAACACCAAGGAAGTAAGATCTTCTCTCAATCTCTACAGCCAGAATTTTAGTGGGGAGGACCAGCTTTCAAAAAGGCACAATGTTTAAAAAGGCACAATGTTTAAAAAGGCACAATGTTTAAAAAGGCACAATGTTTAAAAAGGCACAATGTTTAAAAAGGCACAATGTCTTACACAAGTTTGTCCCAACTAAACACAAGGCGCCAGGCCACTGACGTGAACACTCCTTTGCTTTGCCTCATGAATTGAAGTTGATGCAACTTAGTTTGAGAGAAAGGTTTTGTTGGGTTTTGATCATGTCAAATACTCTGGTAATATTAATGTGTCACAAAGTCTTGTTTATGTATTAAATATTTTTTTTTAAATATTTCATCATAAATTCATTAGAGATAAATTTTCATTACTGTTCATATTTTATTTATGGATATATTGTAAGAATCAATATTTAGAGATATTCTAAGAATTATAATGTAGTGATATATTCTAAAAAATATTATTTAGTGATATATTCTATGAATTATAGTTTAGTTATATTTTCTTTTTTAATCATTCATTGAATTTAGTTTTGATTGCCTTCTTCAGGGCTTGGAAATGATAAGAAATTACCAACTGTCTTGTGCATTATTTGCGCCTGCTTGGACTTATGAGTATCTTGGATATGCCGAGTTTGACGTCAATGAAATCATGTGAGACACAAGTCATTGATTAAAGTCTAAAGTTCCCGCTTGAATGGATCAGACAGTACAACTTTGTACCAGACCTTACTGCCCGGTCACTGCTAGGCTCAACCTGGTGAAAAACTAACATGGCCAAAATGGGTTGCAAGCACTGGAATGCCCTGGGCACTATACATGACTATTGTGAAGCCCGTAATAGATTACATCCTGCCCCCAGCGCACTATACATGACTATTGTGAAGTCTGTAATAGATTACATCCTGCCCCCAGGGCACTATACATGGCTATTGTGAGGACTGTAATAGATTACATCCTGCCCCCAGCGCACTATACATGACTATTGTGAAGTCTGTAATAGATTACATCCTGCCCCCAGGGCACTATACATGGCTATTGTGAGGACTGTAATAGATTACATCCAGCCCTCGGGGCACTATACATGACTATGTGAAGTCTGTAATAGATTACATCCTGCCCTCAGGGCACTATACATGTCTATTGTGAGGACTGTAATAGATTACATCATCCAGCCCTCAGGGCACTATACATGACTATGTGAAGTCTGTAATAGATTTCATTCTGCCCTCAGGGCACTATACATTGCTATTGTGAGGACTGTAATAGATTACATCCATCCCTCAGGGCACTATACATGACTATGTGAAGTCTGTAATAGATTACATCCTGCCCTCAGGGCACTATACATGACTATGTGAAGTCTGTAATAGATTACATCCTGCCCTCAGGGCACTATACATGTCTATTGTGAGGACTGTAATAGATTACATCCTGCCCTCAGGGCACTATACATGACTATGTGAAGTCTGTAATAGATTACATCCTGCCCTCAGGGCACTATACATGTCTATTGTGAGGACTGTAATAGATTACATCCAGCCCTCAGGGCACTATACATGTCTATGTGAAGTCTGTAATAGATTACATCCTGCCCTCAGGGCACTATGCATGACTATGTGAAGTCTGTAATAGATTACATCCTGCCCTCAGGGCACTATACATGACTATGTGAAGTCTGTAATAGATTACATCATCCAGCCCTCAGGGCACTATACATGACTATTGTGAGGACTGTAATAGATTACATCCTGCCCTCAGGGCACTATACATGGCTATTGTGAAGTCTGTAATAGATTACATCCTGCCGTCAGGGTACTATACATGACTATTGTGAGGTTTTTAATTTAGATTATAGCTTGCCCATACAATCCTTTGCCAGAATAGTAATAAATTTCAGTACAGACCAGCAAGTCCTCACCTAGAAGTCAAATTATAAGTTTCACAATCATGTAATTCACAATCTAAAACAAAATACTCGTCTACATCTTAAACAAAATACTTGTCTACATCTTAAATAAACTACTTGTCCACACCTTAAACAAACTACTTGTCCACATCTTAAAAAAACTACTTGTCCACATCTTAAACAAACTACTTGTCCACATCTTAAACAAACTACTTGTCCACATCTTAAACAAACTACTTGTCCACATCTTAAACAAACTACTTGTCCACATCTTAAACAAACTACTTGTCTACATCTTAAACAAACTACTTGTCTACATCTTAAACAAACTACTTGTCTACATCTTAAACAAACTACTTGTCTACATCTTAAACAAACTACTTGTCTACATCTTAAACAAACTACTTGTCTACATCTTAAACAAACTACTTGTCTACATCTTAAACAAACTACTTGTCTACATCTTAAACAAACTACTTGTCCACATCTTAAACAAACTACTTGTCCACATCTTAAACAAACTACTTGTCTACATCTTAAACAAACTACTTGTCTACATCTTAAACAAACTACTTGTCCACATCTTAAACAAACTACTTGTCCACATCTTAAACAAACTACTTGTCTACATCTTAAACAAACTACTTGTCTACATCTTAAACAAACTACTTGTCCACATCTTAAACAAACTACTTGTCCACATCTTAAACAAACTACTTGTCTACATCTTAAACAAACTACTTGTCTACATCTTAAACAAACTACTTGTCTACATCTTAAACAAACTACTTGTCTACATCTTAAACAAACTACTTGTCCACATCTTAAACAAACTACTTGTCCACATCTTAAACAAACTACTTGTCTACATCTTAAACAAACTACTTGTCTACATCTTAAACAAACTACTTGTCTACATATGAACTGATGTGTTGTACCACGTCAAGATTGCATTACCCTAGTATAAACTGCACTTTTTTTGTTTCAGGTTTTGGGGTATCATAAGTGACCTTTTGACCGTTCGGCCATTGAAGATTCCAATACATACTACCTTCTGCCAGGGTTTTGGAAATGATTTCTTTTTGCAAGGACAGAAAATGGTACTTTGAAAATCTAGCTACTATTACAAATCAAACTACCCAGTCCATTACACAATAAATGAACCAGTCCATTACACATTAAATGAACCAGTCCATTAAAAAATTATCTACTCAGTGCGTTCGTTATGAGTCCTGTAAAGCTTTTGACTCCCACTACCATTTTGAGTGCATGTGTTCCATCCTCAGAATGTCTCATCTAAACCATGGTTCAACATAAGTCTACAGCAGTTACAGCCCAGCTACCTCCTGAGCCAGTTCCATTCATATGTGATCACCTCAACCATTGATACAGAACTAGATGATCATGAAATCCCAGTGCAGAGAAAGCGTAGCAAGGCCAGTTACAAAGTAAAAAACCCAAGCAAACCAACCATGTTCTTGGATTTGACCTCGGCTGTCAATGGGGGCAGCTCACTAAAGCTTCAAGCTCTAAATAAAGGACAAGCCGTCTGGTTCAAGTGAGCGTATAATAAGTTATAAAGTTACTTTCTACTCACTTTGCTTGACTTAAATCATCATTCAATTAATTCATGGATCACATTTTATGCTGATTACAGAAGACATGGATTACTTTAATTTATGGATCACATTATTCATGGATCACTTGATTCATGAAAATTTTTTTTAAAGGGTCTCAACAAAAAAAATGTTTCAGTAGAAATTATTTCATTTGTTCGCTAAAATATATTTTGGGGAACCACCATTTTAAGACAGTCCTTTGATGTGGTTGGAAATTACTGTAAAGTAGAGAGACATTTATTTAGTGGACTCACTGATTGCCTGCCCTTACCACTCCAAACTGATTAAATCTGAATCGTTTCAGGTTGTTTAAAATTGATGCAGACAACTCCAAAAGCTTGAAGCTAACCGTATGCTGGAAGAGCTCTTCTGTCAGCCGCTGTGACGTTTTCATGGTGCTGTCAACCCTAGATGCAGACCCCTTGGGCGTGGGGCCTGTTGGTGTGCTGCTGGAGACGGTGGCCTTCAGTGAGAGCCGCTTGCCGTTTTTGGAACAAGCATCAAAGCATTGCTTGAGACACATCTCTACTGCCAAGCCAGAGACTGAATCCATGCTTCAAGATTATAGAAAAAGGTGACATACTAAAACTATTAGCTGCCAGCTCCGTAAGAAAATCCTTGACCTATAAATTGAATATTTTAAACGTAATTCCAGCAGCTGCAACTGAACTGGGTGACATTACAACCAATTTGTGTAGTACTGGTATTTAATAACTGAGATGGTTCAGTAAGTCCAAGCTTTCTTTGTCCTGGACAGCGTCCAGCTGGATATCGATGTTAGATGTGAACATTACTTCCCAGACTGTATTGTTTATTATATTTTCATGCCTCTGACTGTTCCAGTTCTTTCATGGTGGACATGAATGAGTTTGTCAAAAGAGGTTATAAAGATCAAGAGTTTCTTGTCTCTGCAGTGCTCCTGCCCTTGGGAGACCCACAGATGGCAGTAAACATTGGCCTATTGGAAGTAAGTTGGAAGATATTCATATCTCTACTTGCAAAGATTTGTAATTGAAGTCATCTGCAATTGGCTTATCACAGGGGTCACCAAACTTTTTTCACCGCAGGCCGGATAATAGACAAAATGTCGAGCGCAGACCGTATAATCATTCTGATAATACTTGCAAGTCAGAACGAAAGCTCTGGGAAAAAGACAAAAATCTAAGTTTACTATTCCATGTTAATCATGGGTGAGTGGCCTGCAATGCACAAAAACAACCAACATATCATTTAGTAAAAAAGTTATCAAAGAAGACGACGTTAGCAAAAAGATAGTTACATCAGGACTAGTGTGCACATATAAATATCACAAACTAAGCAGCAAAAAATAGTGAGATTTTGAAACTGATGTTTGAATTTTAAGATACCGGGTATCAATGTTTGGCTTGGAATTGCTGCATCTAATCAAGAGAATTGTTTTCTCGGAAAATCTCTGCAACAAATGCTTCTTCAAGTGACTAATATTGATAGGTAGGGGTAGGATCTGACAGCCAGGTAGGATCTGACAGCCAGGTAGGGGTAGGATCTGACAGCCAGGTAGGATCTGACGCTGTGGATCAACTCTAACTTTTTCAGTGAGAAAAACATATCTTTCTTTTTGGAGCTTGTAAAAAAACCAAACATGATTTTATCACAGCAGAGCCACCTCACTGCTATGTTATAAGGCAAGTCAAAGAATTCAGAATCAATTTCTTCAAGAAAAGTCTGGAACTGATATTGATTGAGTGCATGTCCCTGAATAAAGTTCGTAGTAGAAACGACTAGTTTCAGTACACAAGAAACATTTCAGTCTTTTCCACCGAGTGCTTGCTGATGTATGATGGAGTGTATGAACAAAGTGCCGGAATGTGCAAATCTTCCAACTGAGTCCTGATTGACCCCACCGGAACTTTCTTCCCTCCATCTGTTTGTTTCCTCCTGGAAGCTGATTCCACGGATGGTTATAGTGTGCCCAAGTTTTGGCCCGTCCATGAAAATGTCTTTTCTAATTGTTGTTCCATGGACGCTGCAAACGAAAGCCAACTATTCTGTTATCTGACAGTCCAAATTAAAACCACAATTAACATGAGTTGTGACATACTTGGGAGATCAGTAGACTCATCCAGCGCCAGAGAATACCACAGTGTAGCTATATATATATTTATGTTTATTTATTTACTATTAAGATACCCTATGGTACAATTTTGAGATGATATTGTACGATTTTAGGAATTTGATGGTAAACAGGTCTGCAATAAACAAGAAAATCAAGGTATGGTACAATAATTTAAAATGGTTAATTTAAGGCGCATAGTAGCCATGAGGTCTCCGCTTGTCTGAAGATCACCTAATGTTCAAAAAATAATATTTAAATTGTATCCCATCTCGTGTTCCATATGTTTTATCAAACAAATTCAAGTACCGTAGGCGGGCTGGATGAACTGATGCTGTGGGCCAAATCTGGCGCGGGGACCATAGTTTGGTGACCTCTGGCTTATCATCTAATTGATTAGAAGATAGTAAAAGTGGGGTTGTTGTGTAATCTTTGCAAACAGCAGTCAAAATGTATGACATTTTTTTTAGTGCAAGTTTTAATTTTTAAAGCCATTTTACCATAGGAAGGTCATGGAGTAAGACTGGTGTGGATGGTCTGCTCCCCTTGCTGTAATTTTAACCAGGATTTGAACGCTGGACTATCAGAATAAGCCTTACTATTTCTACTTGAGTGCACCCTAAACTCTGTGCAGTCAAAGTTTAACAAAACATTTTTTTGGTAATTTAATGATTTCATTATTAAATTTTTTAAATGAGAAAACTTATCTTTATTCGAATCCTTGGAAATGTCTAATTTTTTGGCAGTTTTCAGAAAAAGAACTAACATCACCATAGAAAGGTACCCCATCAGATTGATAATCACCTAAGAAAGTATAGTGCTAATCACCTGACAAAGTAAACAATAGTGCTAATCACCTGACGAAGTAAACAATAGTGCTAATCACCTGACTAAGTATACAATAGTGCTAATCACCTGATGAAGTAAACAATAGTGCTAATCACCTGACAAAGTAAACAATAGTGCTAATCCCCTGACAAAGTAAACAATAGTGCGAATCACCAGAAAAAGTAAACAATAGTGCTAATCACCTGATGAAGTAAACAGCAAAAATATTTTATAAGTTTCTTGCTTAAGTTTATTTGGTCTACCTCACTTAGGTTGTTGGAGACTCTGAAGTAAAGCCAAGATTAAATATCATGAAGGCTATAGTTAGTCTTGGGAAGCAGTTGGAGCTGCCTCTGTCTTTTGACAGGATCATTGGCCTCATCACCCAAGTCAACACAAGTTATCAAGACATTTTAACAGCTGAAACACGTTCTAATTCAGTTGTAAGTGCAGATGCAACAGTCACGGCAATGTCTTCCGCTAGGACTTCAGTGACCTCTGAGAATTCGTCGTTTGCCTCAGAGTCTAGCATGGTGTACTTCTTTAAGTGGATCTACTCAAACCAAGCGGATGTAGACTACTATCTAGTCTCTGGCTATGACATGGCTGGCAAGCGAACCATTCTGGGCCACTGTGTAACAGAAAATTTTATCTACACTCATGCCTTAAATGACGCCATGCTATTACCAGACCATTTTTCTATAGAGCCTGTGTTATCCTCTACAGATAGTCCAGCCGGTGAGTTTCTCTTTTATGCAGAAGGAGCTGTTCCACGAGTAACAGATCTTACTTTTTGATGAATCTCATGATGAAATTTTTATTTCAGGGCCCTGGATTTGATATCCGGTTTTAAATGGTGTGCAAATTTCTCACAAGTGACCAAAACATAAAACATAAGTGTTTGAAAATATCAATTGTATTTTATCATTGAGTTGATGTTCTATCCGTAGGAAAATTATTTTCAGATGTCACCATGTGCATGATCCCTCTTTGCATTCAAACTTTATATATATATATATATATAAATAACTAGATGACTCATACATGTATGAACCTTGATCCTACTGGAATCCAATACTTCCCTTTATTAAAAGCAATAGTTTTTCATTCATAATGTCATATTTGTTTAATTAATTTCATGAAACATAAAAAGGCGTATTTTTAGGATAAAAGATTACTTGTTTCAACTTGTAAATAACTTTCAACATTCTTTAAAATTCAAGAACTGTATTTTAGGCAGCCATTCTAGGAAATGTGATTAAGATTTGATATTGTTGCAAGCCAACATAATTGCAACTATTCCACATGATGAAGGAGCTGCTGTGTTCTAATCATGTGTAATTGCTGGTAGAGAAGACACAGCCAATTTATTGAGGACATTATTTTATTTCTTAACTTACAATATGTTTGTACATGTTTACATGAGAGCAATGCATTAGATGTTATCTGTTCTTTTCAAAGGAAACAAATCATAAGACATACATAGATGACACATGTAAATCTAAGTTTTCATTATTTAACAATTAGATTTATAATAAGACTACTGACAATTTTTTGGATAGGTTTTCTAAAATGAGTTAAGGCAATGATGAAAATTTTAGTAGCCATAAAGGAAATTAAAAAAAGATCATATCACCAGATAAAAAAATAAATGATTAATGATTGGTCGTGTTGAGAGGAAAGAAAGCATTCAGTGTTACAACATGAAGGCCACAACTGTTATATATACATGGACATATTACCCAGTCATTCATCAAATCACATTGATACTGAATTCTGTAAGTTAATAAATTATAGACTGATACATTTCAAAGTAGAAAATTGAAGTTAAGTACATTGTAGACAATAAATGCAAATATTAGCACCTTGTTATGGATTTTGTAAATATTTAAACAGCCAAAATAAAGATGACAAAATCATGTCCCTAATTGTATTGAAAAGGTGTAGTGTACATCTTATTTCTCCATATTGTGGACTGGAATTACACTTATATTTCCTGGGCAGTTCTTTTTTTAAAATAAATTTATAACACTTGTGATATCTAGAAAGATGACACAAGAACTTGCTGAACTAAACACTCATTTGAAGTATGGTCACCACCCTGATGGTGGTACAGGAACTTGAGATGTTGGATTAAACAAGACAAGAGGACCAAGAACTGAGCCTGCTGAAATATACACTTAGTCATTCTTGGAAGTCTTGCTACAACAGCTGGGTAACTTCATGGCGGTACAGGAACTGACTGTAGATGTCTCAGACAATCCAAAAAGTTACAGTTTTTAAGCTTACAGATTAAATCAATTCGTGGGCTTAAAGTTCCACATGAGAGTGCCTTAATTTTTTGCCAGTAAATTCTTAAACCATATACAAGCAAATATAGTGTAAGTTTTTCTTATTTTCACACTTATGGCAGCTGGGGGATTCTATTTGTAAATAGCCTGACATCTGGAAGATTAAATTGTTTCACTCTTTCTAATTCTTTTTTTACTGGCCTTAGTATTTCACTGACACACTTCCATGTACACTTGAGTCATGTCATATATAAATAAGATGTATGTACATGAAATCAATCATTCAATGTATTGTACAATATTATCATAAACTCTAACTCAACAGAGAGCAGAGGAGTTATTAAAAAATAAAAATGTCTATAATTTAGAGGAGCTTGAGACCCTCTCTACTTCTACAGACACTGTCAGTCATTTTTTAAAATTTGTTTCCCATCCCGGTGGCCATCTCTCTTACTTTGTTAGTCGATTTAATGCAAAAATAACTTCTTGTACTTTTACAATATTGTGTAAAACGCTTTGTTAAATCTTAACTAGTGAACCGTCCCCATAACCAGCCCAGTTTGACACAAGAAGTAGCTAGGTCACATAAATAAAACAATTAAAACAAATCACCCTTCCTCCTCCCCATTAATTCTATATACACTGGACATAATTGATCCACCTTGGGAGATAATGCTGCTTTAGAATATTGTCACAGCCACGAGAACCAATGCAATTTATATTGCTCATTAAAAGTTATATCATTAGAGTAAGTAACTTGCTCTACCATCAACATAATGTGATGATAAGATCATTTATAATCCAGTGCGGAGTTCTCACTGTGCATGCCATGCGACCCGTAATGCATAGAAATGTCATCCTTGACATTCCCTACCATGTCTTGAATATCGTACTCGTTAAGGTGCCTAATATTTAATAGCGAATAGGAGAACTTCAATTTTTTTAACCTTCACATTAGTGTTGGTGTTTGAATGGAGAGGATACACAAATTTTGACCAAATTTACATTTTCCCCCTCTGTTTTACATCTATTTTACTTCAATTATGCACATAATTTACACTGCCAAATACGAACAGCCTAAAATAAATTACTGCTCTGATCTATAAAAAAACTGTATACAATCTTTTAACTTCGAAATACTGGCATACAAAATTAAACATTAGCTGGGACCTCTTTTGGAGCAAAAGTAAGACAGTCATTGCACAAATAATACAAAAATTAATTCACTGTAGTTTTTAAAAAAATTAAGGTCCTTCAGTATGGTATTGTCATACTTTGCTATATTGGGATACAATGAAATGAGAAACTGTATCATTACTGCAGCACTTCATCACTTGAAGATACAGGACAGGTGCCCAAGGCTTCAGCCACAACCTCATGGGGAATGTTTGGCAAAGTGAAGCACTCATTGTTCTGGGGGATACTGCTGGGAAGTAGGTCACTGACCTCGATGTCCATCAGTGGCAGAGATGGCAGGCCAGAGTCTTGCTCATTGCTATCACAACCAACATTTTCTGCTCCTAACATTTTTAATGCGGAAGAATCTGCAGCAACGCTTGCCAAATCTAACAATTTCAATGCAGTAGAACTGGGAATCTCCCCTACAACATCCATTGATTTCATTGCTGTTGAATCAACCAACCCTTCTAGATGAGATTCTTTGGCTAAGTATTTCTCTGCAGAGTCTGAGCGGGAGTCAATAGATGAACTTCTCTCAAATTCCTCTGCTACTACTTCACTGGATGTCATGCTCTCAGTAATACCATCATCATCATCATCACTGGAATCCTCACTATCAGAATCTGTATAGACCTCAGCCCCTTTAAAGACATAACGACTTGGGGGCAAAAAGAGCACTTGGTTGTCTAAAAATATAGAAAGAAATGGTAGGCATAAAACGTTAAAATCAAATAAAGCATTCAAAAGTAATTGCGTTCCAAAATTTAAATATGCCAAGTTATCCCAAATAGCTGTATTTAAAATCAATAGATCAAGCAGCCTGCACAAATTAAAACAAAAAAATATATATCAAAGTAAATATAAGCATTACCAAACTGTTAAATGCATTTGATGTTTATAAGAAATGAATCACTACATACCTCCCATTCTATGAGCTAAACTCAGCCTGTGTTTGCTGCACCACATCTTACGCATGTCATCCAGGGAACTGTCGTGTGACAGCGAGTCAGGAGTTTCTTTCTTATCAGTTTCAGGACCATCTCCATCGCAGCTGTTGGCACTGAGCTTTGGACGCTTAGCTTCTGATGAAGCTTCATCATCTTTAGTATCTGCTTCCCCTGCCCCGGTGTTAATAAAAGGCCTTTTTTCTGATTTTTTTAAAGAGGTCGAGTCTGACTGATCTTGTGGGATGTCGCCGTTAAGATGGAGAGATGTTTGCGGCTCAACAAAGGTTGGATGTTCTTGATGACTGGATGGCTCTTCAAAGGGTTGAGCTAGCTGATGAGATTTGGATATGTCATGGAAGTGATGATTGTGATGCGAGTGAGATTGTCCATGATGTATGTGAGTTTTCTTGTTGGGTATGTACATGACATCTCTCTTGTGACAAGCACTAACCAAAGTTTCTATTTCTTGAGAGGAGCAGGAAGCACTTGGTTGATCTATGCAAGCTGAACATGACTGATCAGCAGCATTGGAGGGTGGTATGCATTCAGTGTACGTTTTGGAGTTGATGGAGGCAAATGGCCATTTGCCAGTGTGTTTGTGATGGTGACTTCTATGTGACTTTGCACAGGCAGATTCTGATTGCGATGTTGAAACTTCATAAACACCCACATCATCTTCTCGAACTTCTGGAGCAACAGCTAGTGTAGCTGAACACTCTGATGGCTCAATTATTTGGGGTAGATCTTTCTCAGGTATACAAGCTGAACTTACAACATATTCAGATGTATCGATGGCCGGACCGGCCTCACTCCCAACTACTGGTGCCAATTTATCCAAATCGGCTTTATCAACAGCATTTTCCCGATTCTGAGAAATGGCATCATTGCTAGAATCATCAGATGGGTAGGTGGGAGACATGGCTTCAACAGATTCTGGACTCACGGGAGGTGTTGGTAGGTCAGTCATTAAAATTTCTTCTAACTGGGCTCCAGGAGTGGCCAGATGCTCCCAACCAGGACCCAGTCGTCGACAAAGCTCACCTATAATTCCATCACAGTTACCCAGTAGTTCCACATCAAAGTTAAAGTGATGGAGGCGTTCTCGGTTGATCAAAATTTGTGGAACGTTAGCAGGCAAAGAGTCTGGTGAAAGAAAAGGCAAACAAAATATAATTTGCATCAAACTGTAACAAACATCAAATAAGATATAAAACAATAGAATGAGAGTACTTCTATTGTTCACCTGTGATTAGCTTACAATACATGTGTCTCTAAATCAAGCAACTTACTTGGTATGAGAGCTACAGGCCTAACTTTCAGTGAAGAACCAATCACAATAAGAAGGTCACATTCATCTTTATCAGCAGCCATCTGATTGTGAAAATGTTCTGGCAAACTTTCTCCAAAAAATACAATGTCAGGTTTCATCACAGCATTTTGATTGGAAGATGGACACCGTGGACAGTGAGGTATGACCTAGAGAAATAAATATTTTTTCTTACAATATATTCAAAACATCATCACAGATCTGCCTAATATCAAAAAAAAAAATGGAACAATTTATCAAGGACAGTTTACAACCATTCAACTTTTTACAGTTGAATGAATCAACACTAAGGAAGAGGAAAGTAGGGTCATTGTATAGTGGTTGTGACAATGTCAAACCTGATTAAATATGTCTTCTTTGATAGCATCTGAATCCACTTTGTGGCTACAAACTGCACAGGTTGCTGTAGCAAATGAACCTGAAATTATGAATTCCAGTTGAGACCCAAAAAGATTACAACATTGTAAAAAAAAATAAAAAAAAAAAAAATTTCTTTTTATTGCATTTAAAAAAAAATTAATTAACAACTACACAATAGTCCCATCACAAATTAGGCCCTTAAAAATAACAAATAATTTATCTTTTAAAATGACTGAAAATTCACAAAACTATCGTCCTTACCATGACACTGAACCACCTTCTGTATACCCGCCACTTGTTCTAAGGTGTCAATATTTTGTGTGTAATTTCTGAGAAGTTTCCCTTTACCTTCTATTAATCGAATGAAATGATGACATGGCGAGGGCTGGAACTGACCAGGATAAATTTCCTATACAAAAAAAAGTCAATCGGTTAACTCTGATGTTGATAGCGAATTAATCCTAAAATATTGACTAGTCATTACTGACTTAATTTTCTTTATTTAAATATAAAGAGTTATGCATAAAAATTTACTTTAGCAAACTTGAAAAATGGTCGTGGATCTGAGCGGAAAAAGTGAATATCAAACATGGCTTGTGGATCTGGAAGATTTGGAAAGTCTTTAGCAAGTCTTGCATAAACACCATCACGTGATCGAAAGTCTGGTATACCACATGATACTGACACCTGCAGAAATTAGATATTAATGCTAGAATATTTTTTTTTAAATTAATTAAAAATGGCATCAGCAGATTTAATTTTCAATAAAAACCTCAGCAACATTAAAAATGTAAAACAAGTGATTTTATTAAAATAACTCATTAAGGACAAGAGTGAATTCTGATCACTTACTCCAGCACCAGTAAGGACCATGATTTTTTTACATGTCTTGAGAAGTCGCAGGACATCATCTAAAGTATTAATGTCATGAAGCTTTTTGCGCTTGGGAGGCTCAGACACTATGTTTATGATAATCTTCCACAGCATAATTGGGTCGAGGCCATCAGGAATTACTGTACCAGACGGGACAAGATCTTCCAATATTTTACGAGGACTCTGACCCCTCCTCATTTGTTCTTGGACCCAAGCAATAGGACCTAAATAATAGGAATAACAACTTACAATATTTGATACAAAACAACTGAACACTGATCTATTTGACATGTAAAAATTCTGAATATAACATGTTTTAAATTATTGTGAAGAGAAATATGTTTTTAAAAACATGGTGTGAAACTGTTTAATACATGGACAGATATATTTCAGAGGTGTGCAAATATAGAGAAAAAAATAAGAAATTTATTTTATTTTAAGCATTGGAAAACACACTGACACACACAATAGGAAATCTTTAACAGTTAATATTAATTGTTAAATTCAACAATAGTAACGATTATTTACTAATCATATTGACATGCATATAACAAGGTGTCTTTTAAATTCACCTTGCACTGGCTGCCATGACTCTTGACTAAAGTCAGAAAAATCACTGATTTCACTGGCATTGTCTCCTTCATCTGGTCCAACAGGATCATTGGAGTTCTAGAAAAGGAGTTTTCAAAATGATATAAACTAAACATTTAACACATTCAATACTAGTCAAATTATTTTTGCCACATCAAACATTAAGAAGTCATACACAATATTCACATCAGAACCTTTTATTTATAATATCATCTTGATTTATTTTTTATAACAAACAGGAAAGTTTATCAAAATTGATGCAAACGAAGAAATCATAACAGATCTTCATGACCTGCTTTGAAGATATTTCTATGTTGTTTGTTACAGTTACATTCAAAATATAGGCAACTAAAGTCTACAAAATATAATCATTTTGAACATAAGATTTTGTGAGAGCTGTCCAGTGACACAAGAAAACAGGGATGATCTATTTACTAGTTAATGCTACAGGTATTTCCTTTCTATTAAATATTATCAAATTGCTTCAATTCTTATCAATAAATGCACTCACATCATCTGTTTGGTCCTCAGAGACACACATGGGCATAGGATTTGAGCTGCCACAATCAACTGAAAGTTTAAAGAAATGTTACATGTTACACAAATAAATGCAACAACACAGTGAGGGCAAAAATGAAATTAAGGGAGAGAGACTGCAATCAAGTTAGGTTGAAGGAAATAAGTGAAACAAAGTATGGGAAAATATTTAAAAGCCTTCTTCAACAAACAATCAACAGTAAAAACATCATAAAAATTAAAATTAACAGCTGCGATTTAGTATGTGGGAGGACATCAAGGCAAATGTAATAGACCATTAGTAAATAAAATTAAAATTTTTGTTAAATTTTAAATCAATTCTTATACGGTAGTTATAAAAGAAAAAGGTAAGTAGAAGTCTTTTTTAAAATAAAATTAAATGCATGAAATTATAAGTAAAAACTACAAAAATACAAGCATACTAGTATTGGTATGTGATCAAATTTCAAAAAGGTAATAGTAATGTTATGCCTGTCATGATCTACTTAAACTGCTCTATAAACTCCTTGGTCTTGTTGAATCCCACAATCTCTCCTTCATAAACTTTGTCTTTGCTATCTACATCCAAATGTGCCCCATTGTCGACCGATGGAAGAAATTCAGAGTTCTTTGATAGTTAATTAAAATTTTCTATTATTAATTATATCTTAAATAAGCCCAGAAACAAAATCTTATCAAATTAAATCATAATCCTGAATCTACACATTTTCTTATTTCTTTTTAACATTATTATTATTATTAATTAATTTTCAAGTTTTGTCTTTATTATTAAATATTATTATTAAAACTTATTTAAAGTGTATTTCTTTTTAATTTTGGTACTTTGATATTTCGACATCAATAAATTAACAATTGGAATAAGTAAATTGGGCCTCATTAAAATTAAATACCTTATTAATTTTAAAAATAATAATTTAAATTACGCCTGCACTGTAAGTGCAGTTGCAGTCTTAGAAAATTTTTATTAATTTATTATTTGGGGCTTAATATAGATTAGTACCGGTATGGTACTTAAAACTAAGACCTATGAATTATAGTTAAATTGTAGTTGTAGGTGTAGAAATAGTAGGTGGAAGCAAACTTATATTAAATTTTATGTACATTTTTTATGTCTGTATTCTAAAATTACAATTTACTTAGATTTATTCAGATATTTAAAGATTACGGAATATTAAAACTCTCTTTTGATTGATACCGAGAGCGAATTTAGTTTCCGGTGAAGATACAAAACATGGAGAAATGGGAGGGTGATGATAATCTGAAAGGGTTAGTATTAACCCGGAAAATGGAAAATGGACTATTTCAAAGTTATTCCTCATCCAATTTAGATGCTAAAGATTCTCTAGGTTCCAACATGGTGCAATCGCTAAAAAATAAAATTTTAAGTATTTTTAGCTTACCGAATAGTCAAATTGACACAGGAAAAACATGGAGGTTCCCCTCGTTGGGAAAATATTTTGCGCTTCACCGTAAGACAAATATTTTACGTTATCGATTACAAAATTAATTTATAATTAGAAACTGTGAAGTGAAACGCATAAATCCAAGGTTACCGTAGAAGCGATTGTAAGATGGCCACAACAGTTTTTGCTTCATTTTTCCATATGCGCAGACCGCGTGCGCAGCAGACTTTCGAAGTACCTATATATATATATTATATTTATTATATATTTATATATATATATATATATATATATATATACATTACCTATATAATATAAGGATGTTGGCTACTTGGTAATAGTTTAGGTAGCCTAGCCACTACTACTAGCCTAGTGCTCTAGTTCTAGTGTTGCTATTACTTGTTACAGTTAGTGTAACTTAGTTTACTTGAGTTACTGTAGGTACTTCGATGAAACAAGGGAGACTACTACTTTTTGTTTAACGGAAATGGGAATCGGCGCCAAAAAATCAAGAGTTTTTAATTTTCCGATGTGTGTATCTATTTATTATTAAATGAGTACTTTAGACTAGAGGCCGACCGAATTTCGGCTTCGGCTTCGGTTTCGGCGCCGAAAGTGGCCATTTTATCACTTTCGGCCAAGTTTCGGTTTCGGCCGAAACTGAAAAGTTAACTTTCGGCTTAATTTCGGTTTCGGCCGAAAGAGAAAAGTTAACTTTCGGTTTTTCTTCGGTTTCGGCCGAAATTGACTTAGACTTTCGGCCATCCGGCCGAAAGTGACTCAGGTTTTTGGTCATCTAATACTCAGTGAAAGCGATATTTATTTATTTATTTATTTAGGCATTTTTATATAGCGCTTACCTTAAAGCTCTAAGCTTGCAGACCTATTACAATTATTAAAATCATGTAAACTAAGTAAAATAAAAATGAGACACTAGGATAGTAACTATTTTACCATAGAAACAATTAAAATGGCTATAAAACGAGGACACTTTGGCACGTTTGGCCTATACTACAGGATCAACCTGAGACAGAAAATGAGGCAAACTAAGCGACATTTAAGAACAAACTAAACGATCTTTAAAACAAACTAAGCGATCTTTAAGAACAATCTAAGTGATCTTTAATAACAAACTAAACGATCTTTAAAACAAACTAAGCGATCTTTAAGAACAATCTAAGTGATCTTTAATAACAAACTAAACGATCTTAAAGAACAAAATAAACGATTTTTAAGACCGAACTAAGTTATCTTTAAGAAAAAAACAAATGATCTTTAATAGTAAACTAAATGATTTATAAGAATAAACTAAGCGATCTTTAACAGAAAACTAAATGCTCTTTAGGAACAAATTAAAAGATCTTAACTATGGGATCTTTATGAACAAACTAAGCGATCTTTAACAACAAACTAATCGATCTTTAACAACAAACTAAGCAATTTTTATGAACAAACTAAACGATCTTTAAAAACAAATAAAGCGATCATTAACAAAAACTGGACGATCTTTAACAACAAACTAAGCGATCTTTAAGAAAAAACTAAAGGATCTTTAACAACAAACCAGGCGATCTTTATGAACAAACTAACCAATTTTTAAGAAAAAATAAAGCGATCATTAACAAAAACTGGACGAACTTTAACAAAAAACTAAGTGATCTTTAAGAACAAACTCACGATCTTTAAGAACAAACTAACCGATCAATAGCAAGCAACTAACGATCTTTAACAAAAAACTAAACCATCTTTAAAAACAAATAAAGCGACCTTTCAGAACCAATTAAGCGATCTTTTAGAACCATATCAGAACAACAATTTTTAGAGACCCGGTTTTAAAAAAAATAGTATTTTTCATTAATTTGCCCCCCCCCCCCATTTTTTTGGCCAAATTTTCTCTTACCATACTAATCTAAAAAAATTGTAAAGCAATTTAAATTACTTTTATATTAAATTGGTAAAATCCAAAGTATTCATTAGATCAAGGGTCTCAAACTCAAATTATCAGGGGGGGCCGCAGGAGGTAGTGTCTGAATGAGCCTGGGCCGCATCAAGAAATCCACAAAAAGCGATTACAACTGTTACAATCTGCTCAACCTTTATAAATAACAATAAAATCATTAAGGGTTCTCAAGAACTAGGATTCACTTTCATCAACCTACTCACTGTTGCATACAAAAATATATAGAAACATTAAAAAAAAAAAAATCAGAATTAGACTAGTCGTAAGATTCGACTGAAACCGTCGCGGAGAGTCACGTTATAGATATGAGAATGGGGGAAACGGGCCGGCGTAAACTTTTCTGTCATGTAGCGGGCCACAAAATATCGTCTTGCGGGTCACAAATGAGTTTGCGGGCCGCGAGTTTGAGACCTCTATATTAGAAGTTTATTTATTAATATTCACGATTATCTCATTTTAAAAAAAAATTGTAAAGCAATTTAAATTACTTTTATATTAAAATGGTAAAATCCAAAGTATTCATTAGATCAAGGGTCTCAAACTCAAATCATCAGGGGGGCCGCAGGAGGTAGTGTCTGAATGAGCCTGGGCCGCATCAAGAAATCCACAAAAAGCGATTACAACTGTTACAATCTGCTCAACCTTTATAAATAACAATAAAATCATTAAGGGTTCTCAAGAACTAGGATTCACTTTCATCCACCTACTCACTGTTGTATACAAAAATATATAGAAACATTAAAAAAAAAAAATCAGAATTAGACTAGTTGGTGAGATTCGACTGAAACCGTAGCGGAGAGTCACGTTATAGATATGAGAATGGGGGAAACGGGCCGGCGAATTAACACTAAACTTTTCTGTCATGTAGCGGGCCACAAAATATCGTCTTGCGGGTCACAAATGAGTTTGCGGGCCGCGAGTTTGAGACCTCTATATTAGAAGTTTATTTATTAATATTCACGATTATCTTATTTTTTATAAAAAGAATGTAAATATTTATACTTTCCCACATCATTTTCGATGTATGCAGAATGTATGCGGGAACGAATTTCAAAATATCTTAATATTTCATTTTTGGTTTCGGCTTCGGTTTCGGCCGAAATTCATTTTTAACTTTCGGCCTTTTTTCGGTTTCGGCCGAAAGTCCTTTTTAAACTTTCGGCATTTTTTCGGTTTCGGCCAAAAGTCATTTTAATCTTTCGGCCTATTTTCAGCTTCGGCCGAAATCAGAAAATCACTTTCGGTCGGTCTCTACTTTAGACATATATTTGAGTTCCGTTTCCGGCCTTATATTTTGGTAGTCATCTTGGCCTACATTTACATTGATTTGTTTGGATCTTTCAATCAACCTGTATTTTGAGATTCCCCTTTAAATATAAGGCATCTTTCACTAAAAATTCGTATAGAAGTTCAACTTTTATGTCTTTTATAAAAAGTCTTATGCTGTATTATCTATCGATGTGTATTTGTGTCAATTCTCATTGAGTTAGGACATGTCTGCCACTTGTTATGCTCATTTGAGTAAACCGCTATATGGTAATGTAGCTCAGCCCAATTTCGATAAGGAAGTGCCCACTAGGGTGGTTCATTGAGATATGACAAAAATGAAATGTGTGCTATGTAGCAAGACACCCTCCCAAGTTTTTACATCTGCTAATGGTAATGTTTTGGTAAAGTTTTAGCTTTAAATTCTAACCACAAGACGGTGCTCAAGAGCAATATAATATCAAAATTTTACGAAATTCTAGCAAAATGAAGCAATACGCATATGTTGAATGTTTTAAAATTACAACCAGCAATAACTTTATAATATCAGCAGTTCAACACTCTTTTGCAAATTAACCACTAAGCTTAAACATATGGTTATTTGCATTTGTCACAATTAAAAGGTCAAATTGTGCTGTTCCATCAAAAAACTTGAAAATTTAACCAATTCAAATTCAAGTCACAAAAGCGTGCATTATCAGTCAATGTTATTGTCATTCTGACATTAAGGCCTGAACAGCAGACTTTTAGGTGATTTGTGTTGGAACAGCCTTGCGGTTTGCTTCCACTACTTGCAATAAGAGTTGTTTTTCTACTTCATTGTTAGTAAGCAGTGTGTTGTATTCTTCAAAAAGCTTCACCGCTCGATTTGCAGTGTTGTTCACAACAAGTAATCGTGTCTGGCCATATCGATACTGTTCACTTGAAGGCCACTCTTGTGGTGGCAAATCAAGAAAGGCGCTGTCAATGTTATGACAACAAAGAAGGTTCCCCGTTCTGGTAGTTGCAAAGTCACCTAAACATACATCTTGTTTCATTAGAATTGATGAATCTCCACGCACTTTTCGTTCGCCAGCCTCATGGGTCATTCCCTGCACAATTCCCATCTTTGCAGCTGCTGTCACATGATCTGAGAACAGGGCTAATCCAACAAGCTCGTCTGAAAGATACCAGAGATGATTTTCTAGGACCTTTCTTGCATCTGTACTGATGTCAGGATCGATGATCTGTTAACTGCTGAGATCAGTCCACAGCTGTAAATCACTGGATGGAGTTTCAGTTGCACGGGGAGCAGTTACCCAATGCTTGGTGTAAATTAGTGCACCAAACTTAAAGCGCTCAACTTGGGCTTCTTCTTTCTTTGTAAGCTTGAATACATCTGTTTGGTTGCGGAAGAGATATATTTTCATGGCATAAATTAATTTTGCCATCCAGCGAGCACGATGTACTGGTCCTGGAGCCCTCCAGTGGATTGTACTCGGTCGATGTCCCAAAACAATCAGAGTCAAATCAATAAGCTCCATGTAATCATCTCTGACTTGTTCCTTTAGGTGCTCTTTGGTCAGGACTACAATGGTTGCATCTGATAAACTGGAAGCTTCAGGTGTCACCTGGAATTCTGAAAAATTCTGCCTGGTGATGACACTCCAACAGCCTTTGAATCGTTTGAAAAGCGGGATATCTGGGGAGTTTGAAGGTCCACAGCAGATGGTGAAAACCTTTGACAAGATGATCTCCATTACAGGATGACGACAGGCTAACCAATGAAGTTCACGACCTAGTCTGTTTTCAAGGCCAACACATACTCCATTTATTCTGCCGGTATTTACTGAGGTTGTGTCAAAGCACATAGCCTGAACCTTCTCAACCAGCTGCCACTCCACCAACAATTTGTGAACAGCATTTGCTTCATTCTCATCAGTTCCAGAGCTCACCTTTGGCACACCTAACAGTTTGTCCATCCCATCACCTGAAAGTAAAACTGGTAGCCTGTCAACTGAGCCTTCTCCAAATATTGCTGGAAGTATCTTTCCATCCTAATGGATTACTAATGGGCAAGTTGGCTCAACATTATCTTTCATTGCTTTAGAAATTTCATGCCTAGCACTTGACCGCGCTCGCTGAATAGTGCTACGTGAAATAGGAAATGCATTTGGATCTTGACCAAGGGCTGCAGCAATAGGAATAAGTAGCCGAAAAGCTTCACGATTAGATGTTTTATTATGGTCAAAGGCACTTTTTACAATTGGATTGAGAGAGGTTTTCTTTACTTGAGTTATCTTGTCTTGCTGTTTACCTGATTTGCTAATTTTGGTCGGTATGTACTCATCCTCACATAATTAATATATTAATAGCATGGACTTAAAACAACCGCCATGATTCCATCTTCCATTGTACTCTTCTTCCATTCTTTTTTCTGATTGGTTCGTCTTACCAAGTTCCATACTCTATAAATTATAAGTCATAATTCTCACCTCACTTAACTCCCTTAACTCAATTTAGCTCTGTGACAGTAACACTAAACAGGAACTTATGACATAGAATAGTTCAACAGCCAACCCTAAGTAAGTAAAATATAACACAAAGAACATGATACAGTAAGTAATATGCAAAATGTAAATTGCATGAAAGTTCGGCAATTTTCGATGAAATTTTGAAAATCCATGGTCGTTGAGCATCACCTTGCAGTTGGCACAAGAGGCTGAAACTCTGCCCTAATTAAAGGTTTGCTATAAGGAAAAAATTAGAGGGTGTCTTGCTCTGTAGGTGAAAGTTGAGTTTTTTGGGCCACCCTAGACTGCCCACACCCCTTTCATTGGCGGAAAACGCCGTTACTTAGGAAATATTTAATTATTTCCACTATTTACATCAAAATATTTGATAACTTATGTTTTAGAATGAACTTAAATGTTATTGAAAGAATACTATTTTAATTTGAGGTTTAAAAAACCCGGCAGAGTCCATATTAAAAATGATCATAATTTGCTGTGTGCAAAATGTCATGGCGGCCATTCAGTGACTTGCATAATGGCTATATGTATATTATATTTGTTAACATTATTAAAATTATTTTTTAATACAGCATTAGTTCTGAAAATAAAATTATCATTAAAACAAGAGTTATATAGCTCATGACGCAAACAGCGGAATTGGGTCACAGAATGTGGAGATGCAGTCTATGATAAAAAAGGACAAATGAAGTCGCACTTTAAAAATTCACAACTTTAAAACTACAACAAATGATTTTGATGTTATAATTCTTTAAAAAAATTAGCTCTATTCAACTATGCCATTGGTTTATTTTTACAAAAAGTTTTAATCTTTTTATCAAAGTACCTAGTTACTGGTAGCTACTTACTCTACTCTACTGTAACTTTACTTAAAGACTTACACTAAAAAAACTTAGTTGACTTACTCTTACAAGTATCTGGAGGTACCATTTCTCTTTCAGGAGGAACTAAAGATGTTACTGTGTCATTATTCAAGTGAGACACACCAGTGACTGGGCATTTCACTTCATCAACTTCATCTATTGAAGAAGATGCTACAGCAGATTCTCCTATTCGTCCTACTCCCGCTATTTCTGTCTCAGTTTCACTATTATTCGAGGTCTCTTGAGGCAATGATAGTTCTATTGAGGATGTGATATCCGAGACATCAGATGTGGCTTGCATTATGCTGAATTCGTTATATTTGCAAACTGACCTGCTACTGTGTAACTGAACTTCTCACGATTAGAATCTTAAAGCAAAAAAACGCAAATATTGAAAAACAAAGTGATTCAAAATCTGCCAAAAAGATAGGTTTAGAAAACGCTTTAACTACTACGCATGCCCGGATGTTATGCTTTTAGTTTTTTTTAGGGAGATGCCCATTGTAACAATATTATTGCTTTCGAAAAACAAATGTACACACTGATAAAAGTTGTAATTTTTTAAACACAAATGTAAATATTATTTTTAATAGTTTAAAATGAAATACATTTGTTACAAATGTCATGTTCACATCTTTTAAATGAAACAAATAGATGTGAATTAACTCCCGTCGAAAAACAACAAATAAACAAATCTGAAAATGACTGTTTTTTATGAGCGGTCCGACTAAACGCCGTTAAATTTGGGGCCATGAAAATATGTTTTAATTCGGATATGCAAAGACCTAAAATATAGAAAGTAAATGTCTTAAGTCTTAAAAACTATTTGCTTGTCAAATATTGTATAAATTTTGTTAACATATTTTTTCTTTAAGTGAACGAAACTCTGAAAATGCTTTTAGTTATAATTTTATTTTCAGTATGATAGTCAGGGGAAGCCCCCCCCCCCCCCCCAAAACCTTTTCTTTTTTTTTTTTTTTTTTTTTTTTTTTTTTTTTTTTTGCAATCACAAATTATTGTTATTTCGCCAGTTATAATATATAACAACTAAAACACGCTATTTATTTGCACTAATTATTCGAATGACATAAAAAGATTATGTCACCTTGCCTTAAAACGCATTAATAATTATATGAATTTTATGGTGTTTTTTTTTTTAAAGGGGGCGTCCATTAATTATGTCAACAAAATGGGGGGGGGGATCTTTGACGGCTGTTGACAAGGCGGGGGGGGGGGTAGATTAGTTGACGTCAACAATCATGTTTTATTATATGAATTTTATGGTGTTTTTTTTTTTTAAAGGGGGCGTCCATTAATTATGTCAACAAAATGGGGGGGGGGATCTTTGACGGCTGTTGACAAGGCGGGGGGGGGGGTAGATTAGTTGACGTCAACAATCATGTTTTCTCTATTAAAATTTAAATCTTAAAAATTGGCTGGTTATGACATTATTTTTAAAAAGTTAATGAGTGTAAATATTCATATAATTTTTTGGGCTTTATAAGATATAAGATCTATTTAAGGTGTGTCTGTGCATTGCAGATGGCTGATCAGAATGTTAGCACACTTTGTTATTGGAAGAGAAGTCAAAAGTTTGCCTCTCTTCACCTGTAGATTCTGTTTGTTGCAAATGACTAGGGCGGTAAGTTTGCGATCATGTTGCAGGTATGGAAAAGGGACAAGGTTCAAGTGTCATGTGCAGTCAAGATAAATAATATTGATAGAGAAGGAATACAATATTTTGAGAATTACGGGAAAGCTAAGTGAGTAACAATTATAGCATCGCAGCTTGAACGGATTTGCAAAATCTGTAAAATCTATTTTGCACCACAAGCCATGTTGAAAAAGCATGTTTAGCAGCACCCTATTGAACATAAGAAATTACCACCTGCACCTCAACAAAAAAGGATTCGACCAATGCGAGTAGCTGCAAGGAGAAAGAGAGAGAGAGAGAGAGCTTGTGGCAATTATTGGTCACACCGACAATGCTTCTATTTTAAATGCTGAATAGTTAGATGTTGATGATGTTGACTTGTCTGCAATGTTCCCTTTTAAGCTGCGCAGCTGCGCAGCTGCGCGGCGCGCAGCAATCTCACAGACGCCGCGCAGCAGTTTTGAGTACCGCGCAGCTAATTTCCACTTAATTGTGTGTTTACGTCTGTAGGGTGTAAAATTTTGCACACAAAAAAATCGATGCTGTAAAAATGTGCACACAACTTTATGATTTTGCACATGAACCAACAAACCTTAAAGGGAACATTGCTTGTCTGGCACATCAGTTCCGCAAGATAAAAATGATAAATCAGAAACTATAGACTACGCCCCTTAGGGGCGTCATTTCAGGTTTTTTTTCAAAAAGGGGGGGGGGAACATGGTCGGATTGTTAAGTTGCTTATTACTGGAGGTGCCACAGTACATAGCAATTTAAATAAAACCTGCAAATTCAAAAACAAAAAAAACGGGGAGGGGCAAATGATAGCAGCTAGAAAATATTCTATAATTGTCAGCTATACTGACAATAATCATATTTATACTTCCACAAACAATGATATTCAGTCTTTAAAAACCTTTTAATTGATTCTGCATTATAAAATTTAAGTGTAAATTTTTTTTAATTTGTTGATTAACAAGCTAAATATGTAATTTTTTTGCTACAAATAATGTCATTAAAATACATCAGCACAAAGTAAAGTAATTTATAAATTTATTTATATTATAATTCATTTGGGGGGG